GACGATGTTCATGAAAAACGGTCTGGTACCTGATGCTCCTTTCACGCTAAACGGAAAGCACGCTAAACGGAAAGAATATCTCCAACTGCTCTAGCTATGTGTATCTAAGTCGATAAGTCAAAATGACGAACGACCTAGCTCCGGAGCTCTGCAGAAGGAAACGCGCCGCGTGGTGAACATTTAAGAATATCGAGGGAGTAGTGAAGAAGGCAAAAACCGTCTGCGCAATCACCTTTTCGACACTGCTGTTCTTTCTGCTTTGACGTAGGCCTCAGAGACTTGGACTCTACGAAAGCAGGATGAGCATGCTGTCAGCGTTGGTCAACGCGTTTTAGGAAGGACGATGCTCGGAATTTCTCTGTACACGCAAGTGCAGAAGAGAATCCGGAGTTCCGAGGTCCGTCAACGAACGAAGATCAGGAATGCCGTTGACTGCGCCAAGAAATCGAAATCAGATGGGCCGGACACGTTGATATAGCGACGACCGTTGGACCACGGCGGTTACTGACTGGATCCCTCGGCGTCAAACGAACTCCAGAACGGCCGCCAACGAAATGGTCAGACTTCTTCACGAAAGTTCTGAACGAAAGGAATGTTGTTCCTCGTGTCCCCGAAGCGATTCATTGAACCACTCTGGCTCGTGACAGGGACGAATGGAGACGTTACTGGCGTCCGCTCGAGGAAATCGACGATCAACGGGACGACAGGTGATACAGGTGACATATGTACGCATTTAATCCGCCACTACGACTCTGAATGGAAGCCGATTGCGGGGCGCACAAAAGAGACTGGTTTGATCAGCACCAGTAACCCCATCCTTTATCCTTTGACTATCCAAAAAATAGACCATTGAATTTCTTTGAGTGAGGTGAAGTAATTAGGCAGATAGTCAATTGTCAGTCGTTAGAGTAAATAAATCACTGTATGTATATCTCAGAGTGTTGTAAAAATTATCAAAGTATATAATTAAAAAATCAAATTACAGCCTGATAAAATTCCCAAGCGCAATCCAGTTACTGAGTAAATAAATGGAAATAGGTGAATAAATTACAACAAATCTCAGAGTGTAATGAAGCGATTGAATGGGTAACGAGCAAATATTATAGATCAAGGAGGAGAATGTTCAAGTGTTGTGGAGTAATTGACTTGATTTTCACCAGAGTGTACAATTAGAACAAGGAATAGCTCAAAGTGTACCAAAGCACGAAGTCGATGATGATTTTGAAAATAATGAAAAGGTAGTAGTGTACCAAAATGTAACTTTTCCCAGAAAATTCTCAGATTTTGCTTTGTCACCTGACTAATTGGTCGGAAACTCGCTTCTGACTGCGAATTTTATACATATGCACCTTTCTTTTTTAACAGGCAGTGAAATTTTCACTGTTCCTGAATTTGGTTGTTTTGGTTTCACTATCAAACAAAAGCCGTTCAATTGAGTTGTCGTTCGAATCAATGTTTTTGAATGTTTTGATTTCAGTGAGTGTTTTATTTTCTAGCATTATAGAGTCGAGTGACTATGAATCTGTACACAGCAGGTGAAGGCCTTTTCGATACCCATGTCACTTGGGATGATATCGAAGCTGATATGCAAAACGAGCTCCGCACCGTCGCCTCGTTCGGTCCCAACAAGTCAGTCAATGATATCGGTGAAGGCAACGTGAGTATAGACTCAGCAATTAATCATTCAGGCCAATAGAAAACCACTTTCTCAGTTGCTATGAATCCTTTCATGAAGTCATCTTTCTGCAAATTAGTCTCTATAAAAAAAATCAAGAATCAGAACACTTCTAGGTGTGAGTACGGCAATGAACGCGTGGGCGCAAGATCTACTTTTGGTGGACCGTTATTGGCTGTAAGTACGGTAATAAGTGAGTGGGCAGAGCTTCTCTTATTGGCTGTGGGTACGGCAATGAGTGCGTGGACAGAACTTCTCCTACTGGCTGTGGATACGGTAATGAATGCGTGGGCAGAGCTTCTCGTATTGGCTGTGGGTACGGTAATAATTGAGTGGGCGGAGCTTCTCCTACTGTTCACGAGTACGGTGATAAATGCGTGGGCGGAGCTCCTCCTATTGGCTGTGGGTACGGTAATAAATGCGTGGGAAAATAAATGCGTGGGTGGGACCCCACCTATTGGTGGGTACGGCGATGAATGCGTGGGCAGAGCTTCTCCTACTGGCTGTGGGTACGGTAATAAATGCGTAGGCAGGGCTTCTCTTATTGACTGTGGGTGCGGTAATGAATGCATGGGCGGAGCACCTCTTATTGGCTATGGGTACGGTAACAAATGCGTGGGCGGAGTCCTAATCGACCTCCTATTGGTGGATTCCCCACTCTAGTAGAGGACGATCACTGGTGCCATGAAGCCATTACTTATTGGTATGGGACAAAAAAGACTACATTAGGTAACAGAAGAAGGAAGGACACTTGGCTTTATCTAGAATCCCAATAATGTGATAAAAAATTCATGATCTTTATCTATGACAAAGTTTGCCGGCTCAGTTTATAAATGAAGTCCTGCCANATTTCATAGTGTTTGGTTCTTCTTTTTTCTGAGTTTGTGATAAAGTGAAGCACTAACATGTCAGTTGATGATGAAGTACCATAACCTACTGAGATCAAAATGGACAAGTGAGCGATTCGGGGGTCTTCTAAAAAGCCACTAAATGGTATACAGAAATTCCTTATAAAATTCATATTCAATGTTGGAAGATTAAGTAAATCCTAATTTGTCCTAGGCATACTTGTGAGATCGGTTTCATTAAATTTTAGGCTGGAAATTGAGATGTCTCCTTTCAGGGTTTTATGTCAAAAATTCTACTCATTGAGCCCGACTGGCAAAATAAGGACAAGGAGCTACCGAAGAAATTTTTAGCAAAAGTCAGTACGCTTTCCAGCGAAGTTTTGCCCAATTTTGACTCAGCAATCCGTGGTCATAAGTTCGAACATATTCGTCACATTTGCCATCGCGTTTTTACTGAAATCGAAAAATTCAGCCCTCAAAGAGACTTCATTTACAGATTCTCACCCAGCTCGCCATACAGAAATTATCGACAAAAGTTGCTGAGCAATCGAAAATCGATAATCACTTCGCTGATCCCGAGTTCATGGTCAAATTCGAAGAAATTGAGAAGCGTGTGAGAGCTTTGTGACTGTTTCACAGTAGGTCCAGGTCATATGCGGTTTCATGAGTGTTTCAGTGCCATAATGCAGAAGTAACTGCTTACAGTCATTTGGGTAAAATCCCTAAAGAAAAGATAACTGTTCCTAAGGTGAGTTTAAACGGCTCTAAGGCCATGTGGTTTCGAGGTTAGCCCTATTAGAACTCATTTTCAGATCTATTGCATGAAGAAGTTTAGCGAATCTAATCCGGCGAAGGGCTATATTCTAATGGAACATCTTGATAATATCAAAGGAATACATATATTCGAAAATATATCAATAAAAGAAGTAAGAGAGGTAAGTATCTTAGGCATATGTCCCCTCTGACCAAGTTTCAACAGCATTCCTCTCCTGTTCGGATGACAAGGGCTCAAACGCATGTCTGACCCGATAGAAGTAGTCCCCAAAAGCGTTTCTGGCCAAGAACCCGATTGATTCGATACCGCTCTGCTGGCCCAACCCCTATGGGAGCTCAATTTTGACGGCTTTCAGTTATTATACCAAAACACTTTAAATACTCCGAGGTTCTAATTTCAAAGGGAGCGAGGCACACCCTTCTCACGTGCCCAATCTGATCCCGTCCTATTGATGTGGCATCCTCGAAAGCACTCATTTTTCTTATCTACTTCCCAGGATTCGCCCAGAAACGCTTTTCTCTGACTTTCAGTTGTAAGGTCCCGATGAGCAGACCATCAGAAATAGCTGTAGCATCAAAAAATCGGTCCAGATATTATTGACCTCATACGAATATATGAATCCCCACTGGTGCAAATCATTTAAATAAGCCGATTTTCCGATTTCCCCGATCCCCCTCATTGCATCCCCTTTCCTACAACGACCGCCGATTAAGATCATACAGGCTTCAAAATGAAATTCGTGAGGTTGTCCCCATTTTTATGTAATGAGCTCCAAACTTCCTCAAATGGACTATACACACAGTCTCAATGAAGTCTTCCTACTTATATAGCGGCCATATAAGGAAGCCATTGAAGACATTCCTTGAGACAAGTAATATCAAGAAGTTTGCAACTGAGTCTGTTTCAGATCTTACACTATCTTGCTGTGATCGAAGCAAGCTCGCTCCGTATTCCTGAGGAAGAAAGAACAGGGTTCATTGAAGAACCTTTCAAAACAGTTTTCAGTGCCATGCTTGAGGACGAGGTTTGCGAGCAATCAGTTGCAATTTTTTAAATTGTATTGTAAAAACTCACAGATATCTCTCTGCCAGTAGTTTAGGTTATGGATAGGATATATTCGATGTTCCACTCGCTCGACAACGGCAAATTAGCTGATAGAGCTGATCGTCTCAAGGAAATCAAATCTGAAATGGTTGATATTCAATCAATCGAATCTTTGTCAGAGCAGCTTGGTAGGATTTTCCGACAGTCAGTTCATTCTGGAGGAAATTGCACCCCTACACGACAGGGAATGGCAAACAAGTTGATCAAAATGCTTTCAAAAATAAAAAAAAAGAAACCTTGGTTGCAACGAATGGGGATGGTGTTATTCTTTTTCATCTTTTTCGAATTTAGCTCCCAGTAAAATCTCTCCCAGTTCTATTTTGTCATCCAGGCAAGAAACGAGGGCAATCAGTGAGGAGGGAGACCGTCAACATTCACTTTACTGCCTAGTGTTTCTCTGGAATGTAAAGAGAGAATAGGAGAGTTATTTTACAATGGGAAAACGTATTCTCCTCCCATTAGGAGTATGATGAACATCACATGAACCACTGGAAGGATACCCTGCCCCATTGCGAAATCCAGGCAAGCCACCTTGAGGTTTCTGTAAGTCAAAAAGTACAATTTGTTGTCATAAAGATCTCACATAAAAATTGGAACGGATTAATAGAACCTCGAAATTTCCTTTTCTCCATGATCCACGCTACTGGGGGTTTTCCCTTTTTTCGTTAACCCATTTTAATAGCTCAGCATTCAGGAATGAAGCGCGTTTTATGTCATGGAGATTTATGGTCTATGAACATTCTTTGGAGACAAAGTGGGGATGAACATCACCTAGCTGCTCTAGTCGACTATCAGGTAACTCAATTGATTAGATTGAGAAAAGAGGTTAAAAATGTTTGAGGTCTAAGCATTTTATCAGCTGACGAGGATTCCTTTTTGCGGTCATTCAGATCCGAACAAAACTAATGTCGGTAGCCCGATATGGTTCAGTACAGGTGTACATAATTGACCTGAATGTGTAACCGAGTTTATACAACACCAAGAACGTTCCTTGATACCCTGGCCTGAGTTCCTACCCATTGAGTTTTAGGAACTGAGAAAGTATTAGGAAAAAAAATCTACAATATACAGAAGAATCCGGTTGACAACGGGTAGGTTTCACAAAAAATACTTTCAGATAGCACATTTTGGTTGCCCTGCAACCGATTTGGTTCGCATGTTTTCCGCTTGCCTCAGTGGAAAAGACAGACGAGAGCATTGGGAAGAGCTGTTAGAATGCTTCTATGGGTACCTTAAAGAGGAAGTGGGAACTGGGAAAATGCCGTACACGCTCGAACAGGTAAGCCACCAGCACCTGTCAGTTACTAAGAGTGACAAAATTAATTTCGAAACAGCTCACAGCGTCGTAGCCGACTGTCATTTTGACGAGAGCGAGTTGGAACAAACAGGAGATGACCGTACAGGGAAGACTTCCACGACCAGCATGGAACTCTGCCCTTCTTTCAAAAGCTTCTATTCCTCGGCTATCGGCGAAAAATCAAACGATTTATGATAGCTTTCGATCCTTCGATTCCCTGCAACAGATCATTCTTTTTTATCATATAACTGGCTACTTTACTAATTCACCCACTAAATTATCAGTGATGCTTTGATTATTTGTTTATTTCCTATTGATTAAAACATAAACAAATACTACCAACACATTTGAGTGGCGTCCAACTATCAATAGTCAAATACCATTAAAATAGTTGGCAAAATCGCTTCGCATGGATTTTCTTATCAACAATAAATAAAATAGAAGCACATAACTATAAAGAAAAGAAAAGCAAACGACACCAGCATAACGACAATAAGGGTGCCGGGAATCGATCTGTAAAGGAAAAATAAGAAGGTTGTGGCTGTGGTGGTGGCCATCGGAGGGTCTTCATGTAAAGACTTCGATGTCAATCGATTCCGGTCCATGCCGGCCCCACAACCCTTTTGACTCCTTCATGATCTCCCTTTACGATAATGTATTTATTTAAATCTATTTTTTATAATCACCAATTCCATGCTTTTAGTTGAAAGAAGCCTATCGTCGATTCTTCCCTGTGGGAGCTTTTTTGATAGTGCCGTTAATAGGACCACTTTTCGAATGTGTCTTCAAAAATCCTGATGAAGAAATGAAGAAGAAGGTATCAACAGCTATTACTCATTACTCTTATCTACAACTAATTATCAGCTGTGATATTCGGATGTGTTATTTGATTATAGTAATTTTTACGACTGTGAGCAATGATCATTGTCATTGCAGTGTTTGGCGACGATAATGGAAAAGACGGAGTGCATACTGGATGATATGCTTTACTTCCATGAAAGGAATATGAAAATCAAGAGAGGGGAATCGATTGATTGACGTGTTTGAAATAAAATATATTTATTGATTTCTTGCTACCTAGACTGTTGAACAAAGCCGGAAAAGTGCCGTCGAGCACTTCTCTTCAAGAAGAACCCAGATGAGAGGAATTCGGGTCTGGGGATATTCCCAGTGCTTCTCCTGAGTTTGTACACACATTTAGTAGCTATAAAGTGATGGAAATTTTGTAGATTCACTCAAAAAGGATTAGCTCAAGGCAGGATATCGTAAAATGTTTCCATGCTACTCGTCATCACGGGTCGTTCCTCTGTCAACATTCCGCTCATGAGATGCATGGGAGATCCACACTGAAACAGTGTACTTCTCGACAATTATAAACAGTACATATAGGTTTATGGAACACACCGAACTAAAAAACTATTGAGGCCAAACCTGGAGAGCATGGAGTGCATTCCGGATACATTTCGAACTTCGGCGGCACTTCGATTACGTTCCTCTGTGAATATAGTTGGGTAACTTTTCCACTTTTCCCCTACATATGGAAGATAAGGCAATATTCTGAGCATCATTCGGCCTTCGCTACACATTGTTTAAGACCTTTACTCATTCAAAATCCTCTACAATTTACAATGTGAGCTTAACATATTGCGGATTAGAGGAAAACCTTTACCGCATCAATTTAATCATTAAAAAAGGAACTGATAAATATTTATTCTACAGTGATGCTGCATATGGTTGCCATAAATGAAGGAGGCAAGCATAATTTTCAAAAATGTACATCTATGATATTTTATTAAAAAATCAAGCATATCATCATTCACGAATCGATACATATGTGGTTTACTTGTATTTACAATGCCGACCCTATTTGCTTCATCGTTGTTGTTTATTGTTTTGATGAAAATCGTAAATATCCTCCAATAAACCTTCAGCCTTCTCGAACATAACCATCAAAGCCTGAAAACGGACGAATAGTCATAGCAATACAAGGAAAAGCAAGTACATTGACCATGTAGAATTCAAGGGGTCTCTAAATACCCAAAAAAGCTTAGCCAAGTGCCGGCTGAACAATTAGTCTTGATACTTCTTTCCAAAATGGTGGAACCTTTCCCAGGACCAGAAATTCATGGAGACGTCTTTTCTTTACAGAGAGACGCAGCCTACCCTTACAAGCAAGTAAGGCCTCAATGGGATTCCTTCTAAAGTCTGTTCATGCGATCTTCCTGCGTCTTTTTGTACCTTTTTATCATTTGCCCCTTTCTTCAGCGAGCGAGTTGCAAGTGAAATTTTTTTTCACTTTCACACTTTACCTTCCAGTCTCTTCCTTTCCTTATTTTCAAATTGTTCTGTTTCTCCTGTTTTGTTGGCAAAGGACCATTGCCTTGTATTTTCTGATTTCGGTTGGAAGACACACTCTTGTGTGTGATGTAATAAATAGATAAATAAATAAATAGACTAGGTTAGATATTTCGATTGATAACGTTTACTGTTGCGAATAATGATCAGCCAATATCTATCAGGTTAAAGTCAGTTTTCATAAAAATTAAGCAATTCGAAATTTGAGCTATCTTCCCCAAAAGATATATATATATTATTATTAAGTATTGAAAGCTGGGATCAAATATGTAGCCTAAAAGGTCTGGGAGTAGTAAAAGAAATAGGAAGAGAGGCAGGTGAATAAAAAATTTTAGTGGTCTAGTAACAATGGTGAAGTAGGGCCACAGTTTACATAGAGCGATTATTTCAGATTGAACGACACAGTAGATGAGTTGACGCTATCTTTCCCCTTTACTTGGGGTGGTGAACATTTTGCCAAATTTTTCCCAAATCACGATGATAAACTGTTTCAAAGCGATTTTCATTTACAAATGTTGCGCTCCACTCCTTTTGTAATTTCAAACATCATTTACTGGACTGATACCTTTTCTCGAGGGGCATCATAGGACAAGGCTTCAAAAAAAAAAANATTAGTTATGGGCGATCAAGAAGGTCTGAGGATCGAGCCACTTTCCCCGTTGGCCGAGAGCCATCATAGTTCAGTGCTCCAGTGAAGAAAGATTGACGGGTGATCAGATAGATTAGGAAATAGCGACTTGGTATCATTGGTCGAGAAACATCATTGTTCGATGTTTCAAAAACAAAGGGATCAAAGGATAACCAGGTAAGTGTGAAGGAAGAGCGGCTCCATCTCATCAGTCCAGAACCATCATAATTCACTCTTCAGGAAAGGAAGATTGACGGATGATCAGATTGATGAGGAACCAGCGGCTTGGCTTTGGCTCATCAGTCGAAAAGCATCAAAGTCCGGTGTAAAAAAAAGAAAAAAGGGTAATCAGGTAGGTGTGAGGAAAGTGCGACGCTGTTTCATTAGGCAAGAAGCATTATTGTTCAGTGTTCCAGTAAAGAAGTTGATGCGCTCTGCTGGATTCTAGACAGAAGCGACTTCATCGTGTTAATCGAAAACCATCATAGCTTAGTACTCAAGTAAAGAAAGATTGACGGGTGATGAGAAAGAGTTGAGGAAAGGCCGGTTCCGTCTAATCATTCGAGAAGCACTACTTTCAGTGTTCCAGTAGAAGATTTAAGCGTTCTTTGCAAGTTATAGTCAGAAGCAAGTTTATCCCGTCAGTCGATATACATCGTTCTGCGATGTTCCAAGAAAGGGATGGGTGGTGAGGGAGATTGGGGAACAAACACTTTATCGCTTCATACGAGGAAGAACATAACTCAAAACGTCGTTCTGTAATCTGGACTGCTTATTTTTCAGCCATCGTGATCACCGATCTACGGATCTCCTTCACTGAGCCTTCCCTCTTACTTAAAAGTTTCTAGCCGGCTGGTATTGAGGCTACGTTGCGTGACTCTATGTACTTTCAAAGCATGAACGGTTGCATCGCAAACGTGTATCGAAGATCCAGTGATACAAGCGAGGAAGATCAAGTAGAACCTCATCGGACTGGCAAAGACGATAGAATAGTACTATGGCACGCCGTCTCGAGAGTGGGAGGAAATACTCCTTTGAACATGTGACAGCAGAGTCCTCGACAGTGTAGGTACCTTGGCCTTAACTGAAATACACTGGATGTTATGTTTCCAATTCAATGATTCAAAGAAATGTAGGACTTGGCGTTAGTATCCAAATCTGGATTAGGATGCAGGTCCGTATATGAAGAGTCACAGGCGATCGATCAAGCGGTTTGTATAATAGTTATGTACAGTTGGTAAAATACTCAAATGAGCGACGTTGTGACTTCTTTATGATGAATTAATCTTATTCTTTTAACAGTCGCTTAATAAGGGACCTTATAGAAAAGGTATACCAATCACGAGAAAACTCTCTCGAACGATGGAGATGCGGTGGTGGAGGGGATATCAAGGAGGTATTAACACGGAATGAAATTGCAGTAGCTTAATTATCAGTGTTCATCCCAACATCTGGGGATCCCCTATGCTCCTCAAGCCCACAAGGGGTGCAGGTGGAAAGAGAGGGTGACCATTTAAGATACTGCCAGGCTCAACACGATGCCGCTTGGATACGCCCCAACAACTTACCTTCGTTTTGTATTCAACATCAGTGTTGCTGTTGATTGTATGAAGTGTTGGCCCGAACATTGGCAGCATTAAGAAAGCACCAAGAGGAAAGAAAAGTCGATAAGCCTTCTTCAGCTGAATTGATCAATTTTTTTATGGGTTCACTAAAGGGGAGGAGGTTAGAGACAGAGGCTGTGAATAACGTACCATATCTAGAGTGTAAGGCATATTGTGAGCACCCAGTTCCTTTTCGAGGTAGGTGTAGAATTTTTCAAGCAGGGATTCCCAATTGTCCTTGCGGTCCTTGCTACCCATACAGGCACAGAAGATCCGTGCGAAATCTACACTTGGGCAACCGAAGTGTGCATTCTAAAAAGAAATTCAAGCAGAAAGTGAAAAGGGTGTTGCCTTGAGAAGAAGAGAACAAAAAAAAAAGAAATAGAAGTACCTGGAAATCGATTACAGCTTTCAATTCAAGTTCACTCGCTCCATTTTTCCAGATGAGATTCGTTGCCCATAGATCGCCATGGCATAAGACCGGCTCCATTCCTGAAGATTGTCTATGCGGAACCACAACTTCTGCACTTCTGTGCAAGTTTTTCACCGAAATAGTTTTTTGAACTCTTCGATCACAACACTTTTGTGTTCTAATACAGAGTGAATGTGGTGATGAAAGACTGCGGTTCCTCATACATAGGGTTTATAGCTTTTACCATAGACCAATATTCGACCTCCACTCCTATCCATTCTCGAGCTCAAACCTCATCTGCTATCTCGCAAAATGCTTCTACCTAGTTTATGAGAGATGAAAAGTTTATTCTGTTTCCGGTGGAGGGATTGGAGCCAACTGCTCTTCAGGTGAGCCCCCTTTCATTTTCACAACAGTCTCTCAATTTCAATAATGAGCAATACTTTAGAGAGTTGTCTATTCATTATTACACTTTCTTACATAAAATCGGGTATTTTTATCGTCAAAACCCGGTTGTGAATTGCTTGCGACGACTACGGAACGGAAAGACGAGGATTCCACCTACCTAACGATTTTGGCATTTCTTGGATTAGTTTTATATCCAATACCTCGGGAAGGACACTTTCCAAGCGATCGATCTTGTCTTTCATTCGCTCTCCACCAAATTGGCGTAACATCGTCATAAACCCATTCGATCCCTAAACAGTAGGGGTTGAATAGAGTGAGATCGCTTCAATGTTCAGAACGCTTTCTGGGGGCCTATAAGAAAAGAAAGAAACTCCTTGGTATTCACCTGCTCATTAAGCATTTTAGAAAAGAGCACGATATAAGGATGATTTTGGAAATGTGCTTTCTCATCATCTGTGAACTTCATGCCTGTTGCTTGCAATTTTGCTAACGCCTTCATAACCTGAAGCATCCATTTGATTAATTAACTCACACTTATTCGTTGTTGTATCCACTTCATAAGAACCCAATGAATAAGTATAGGATTTGAGGATCCAAATAAAAACATGGCTGGAAGATGTGTAATTCTCTGCATTAGGCCAAGATTGCACAGCTCGGATTCGGACACTCGGACAGCTGCGCAACCTTGACATTTTACAAAAAGTTACGGATTATTTTTCGATAAATTGTCTTCCCTTTAGAGACCCGAAGCATGGCAATTCTTTTGATAAGAGCATTCGCGAAGAAGAAGTCTGACCAACGCGGCAGCCCTAGTGTTCGTTTGACTCCTGAGGAATCCACTCAATGACGGCCCGGCCCAAGTTTCGCATGACGCATCCGGTCCTCCTGATAGTCGATTCTTTGACGTTGGCATTGGTAACCCTAATTTTTTTTCCGATGAAGGAGCCTGAAACTCCAGAGCTCCAGATTACTTGAGCATTGTCCTTCCCACAGCAGTTGGATGACTTCAACTGCATGCTCATCTTGCTCTCGTAGAGTCCAAGTCTCAGAGAATCATATCCAAGCAGAGAGGAACGCAGCCTTTCGGGTCTAGAAAACATCCTGCTTCACAGTTCGTGTCCCAGGAGCTGAAAGGACAACAGTTGCAAAAGAAATATGTAAAGAGGGGTTAAGTCTACTACTGAATATGTGAACATGTATTCGGAATGGGTAAAAGGATGGTGTCGAGCAAGGTTTCAAGGAGGTTCTATGGAAATGCCATATAATTCAAGAAAGAAAAATTCCTGACTTGGCTCATATGTTCGGGCGATATGTTGTCAGAAAGATGATACAGTGTGCCATCGCCAACATATTCCATGATTATATATCCATTAAGTGGATTTTCTTCAGAGAACGCTTGCGTGAAATAAATCTGAATACTACTTCCGATACCCGATTTCTGGGAAAATGACAATAAAGAAGTTTTGGATGAATGAAAAGAATCAATAAGAGTGCACTATAGATGCATATAAACCTCACCTTTGGTGTCGGAATGTCTGTGACGTCATACTTCTTCAACAGCTCGTACAAACAAACTTCTACGTTATGGTTCTAAAACAATGGGCATCATAAGTCTAGAGCCATTGCACTGAACTCCAGTCCTTCCTAATTGAAAAGGCAGCTCATCCCCATACTTTTTAACAAGTAAGATTTGTTGTAATGGCAGGAACAAGCACCGGATAAAGGAATAAATGGTAATCTAAGGCAGTTCAACTCGTTGCCATTATGAGGGAAGGGGAGCATAAAGATTTGTTGCTAGTGGACTAATATCTCTTTATAGCAACGGTGGCCCACACATTGCAAAGAGGTCCAGTCAACACTTTAGAGCTTAGGATGGCATGTTGGTCCACCCACCGTACTCGAGTCATTTAGCACAGACGGACCAACTTTTCCTGACGCTATTAAATTCGGTGAAAGATAAGAAATTGGATAAGCAAAACCAACTCGAAGCTGCCTTCGCTATTTTTTCATTTCAAAATCCCAGAGTTTCTACAGAATTGGCATATACAAATTGTCCCTTCAATGGCAACATGTAGTGGACAAAGATATTTGCAAAATGTTGATTGTACTGAAGAGGAGATCAAATCCAAATCCTCCCTCAAAATTGCAAAATACTTTTTTGAAAACGAATATATTTTTTTCATTATTTACAAGTTTTTCACTAGTAATAAAGTTTAGTTATAACTTAATCATGACAAACTCATGAGCGTTATTGATATACATAACTTTAGTTGAATGTCATTTGTATGAATATTACTTCACATATTCGGGGGTTCCATTTACCTGCTTGACGTAATTTTCGAACTGTTTGATTAGATCTTCATTAATAAAGTCTTTGTTTTCCATGATCGCTTGATTCTCCACCATTGACAATTGTGAGCAAATCTGAAAAAAACTAGCCACCGAACCATAATCGCACCAGTCAGGATTTCGAGTGAACTGACCTTTACAATGAATATCTGGGGCACATTTTTAAGTTCAGACTTCCAATCAGGTGATATCAAGCANCCCTGAAATTACCGAATTTTACTGATCTTGCCGATCATCTTATTAGATTGGTGGCGTTATTCTGAATTACCGTCGCAACATATTGGCAGACGAATTAGAGATCTTTGCATGAAATCCTGCAGTGACTTCGATTTATCAACGGCGGATGGACTCACGTTTCCAGCGCCGATATCTTTGACATCTTTGTTGGGTCCAAATTTTGCATCCGCTCCGAACGCTTTGAAAACGCCGTTTTGAAGTTCGTCCCAAGTGAGATGAGTTTTCAAAATACCATCAGCAGGTGTAAATAGTGACATTGCCCACTGTAATAGTAATACTTCCACAATAATTATCACAGGCAAGAGGAATCTCTGAAGAGCTCCCATACAGAATTCTAATAATATGCTTGAATGAGCCACCATCTGAGCCTTTTCATAAGCCATTAATCGAGAAAGGAGTAATTTGGGAAAAAATGAAATGGCAGCATAAACCAATCCAATTCATTGGAACTATCAACCGTATTCTCAAAGATGGAGGTAAAATGGAGGTACCTCACCCACCAAATCTCTATGCAGAATCTATCAGTTGAGGGGAAATATTTCGAGTGATACTTTGTTGTTAAGTTTTTTTTTGTTTTTTTATTTTGCTGAAAACGCACAGACTGACGCTCAAGGCTATAGAGGTCGAATGAGCCAGGAAATTTTAGTGTAATTTTACTGCTTTGAATTGGTCCACGACGCAGACTGAGATCTCTGCGCGAGATCTACCTATCATATAGAAAACTTTGAGGAGAGCGAAGCCGATGTGTCAAGCGCATTAATCCGCAGGACTTATCAAATTAGTGGTAATATTTTTGCTAAGAACGGATTTGCCTCGGGTACCGAACCTCTGAAAGAAACCTATCAAATGATTGCGAAAAGCCACAAGGAATCAAATCAACCAATATTGACATCAGATTTATCTACGGATAGTATTTATTCGAGATTCATTCATGGAAAAAATTCGGGTGCAGCATCAGCCGAAACCAAATTTCAGACCTATCTGTAGCGTGGAGGAAAATTCGTCATCGATATGCCACAATTAGCAGATCTGTTCGAAGGTTCTAACAACTGAGTGGGAATATGACTGCTGATAAATGAATAAACCGCTGCACCAAACGACCTGTACAATGAACCTGTCAATCAAGTGGAAATCTTAATGATGATCGAAGTGGCGGCATGAACCGGATTTGCATATCAGGCTTATCAAAAAACGATGCACCCATAACACCTCGACTGGTTTTTATTCAAAAGTATTGAAAAGCAAGAGGAAGCATCAAATTATCAAGAGTTGTTATTATTAAATATTGGTTTTTTTTAAAAATGAACGTCTTATCCGCTCCCAGCAAGATGGCTCAGAGTGAATCCCACGAATGAGGGCCGTCATGTATAGCTCCACCGTGATAAAGATGTCATACAATGTTTCTGTCTGAAAAGGGAAATGTCAACTGCAAGTGGTATAGCAGCGATAGAGATGACTCCCGAGTTGCGAACTGTTCAAAGAACCGGATCCTGAACACTGATATGAAAAATATTCCTATCTGGGGAAGGAAAGCACCGGAAGTGAACCAAGTTCAGATTGAAAAGACGGAAGTACTCAGGAATTCTGAACGCTCAATTTCGCAGTTCGGATTACGACATGACGGCAAAGGTCAAGGAATCTAGATAGTTAGCAGGTATAAAAAAACTCAAATAAAAATAAATAATAAATAAATAATAATAAAATAAAATAAAATAAAAATTAAGCGATCGAAAATCAGGGAAAAGGATGGCCTGCATTGCTGCGGAAATACCTCATCATCGGTCATAAGGCCTCCCAGGATCTTCCACCAATTCGTCTTCGTTTTCTGGCTAGACTAAGACTTTCTCCCTCCTACTAGTAAAAGAAAATGGCAGTAAAAGATTAAGCTGGGAATAAAATAAATCAATCTCCTTATGAGAAGGAAACAGGCACATAATTCGAGTAAGCAAGGGTTCGTAAAAAGTTCACGCAAAAATTATATGAGCAGAGCTATGCCTTGAAATATGAACTCTAAAGAGTAGGTAACTGTATTTATAGCGCATCCGCACATGAAAGTGATGCATATAACAAATTACAATTATGAAAAGATTTCTGATAAAAATTAATCGCCTGATAAATCTGGAAAGAGAGCAGTCCTTCTTCATTGCTAAGGAATCAACCGAAAGCTGGCTTTCAGAGGTATTGCATAGGCAAATAAAGTCTTTCTATTACACTAGAAAGCATCGATAGAAGCAAATTCGTCGAATATTGGAAAGCCGCCTACGTGAGAGCAAGGATCGTGTTGATTTGAGCGCCCTCACGATAATTATAGGTGCGCCGACAAACGCACACCGAAAAGTCCAAACATCAGGAACATACCAGAGCTGAGTACAGAGAACTAGTCACATTACTCTCCTGTGACAAGGGGATGGTGTAAATTTTCCATGGGAGGTTGCTCTGATCATTATCACTACATCAAGAAGAGTCAAGAAACCGCGAAGGGCATCTAATAGGGAAATCTGAACTATTTTGCCTGCCCAATCTATTCGATAAATATGGCACAACATATGCACGGGGTCCGCAGAATGCTATGTGATTAGGCAAACAATTTTCTGGAGTCAATTCCAGCTCTAATTCGAAGGGGATTGAGAAGATATAAAAAAATGTCTAGGATAGGCAAAATACTCTCGCTGATCTTTACTCTGCCTGACGATGTGCGTAGGAGGACTTGAGACCTTCTTCTGGGGAGTCGGACCGAAGAGTTCCTCAGACTGCGTAAAAAGTGTGCATTCTCATTGTATCAGCCATTTACACATACTTTCAACAACTCAATGTCTTAGAAATGGCCCCGAACTTCTGGAAAGACGCTTACTGGTTGCTTGGTTAGCGATAATTGCATTTTTTGCATCCCATTTGTGCTCAACGTTAGCATTGTACTTGTACACTCAAAGCATGCATAGGAAGGCAATGGAAGGGGGTGTGGTGCAGTATGAACGAAATCGTCGCGTCGCGGCGAGAGAGACGCCGCGCGCGAATGAATGTGGTAGAAAGCAGCAGCAAGCGAGAAATACAAGAACAAAAGAAGTAACAGTAAAATCATGCCAAAAGTAATAATCGCATAGCGATTGAGCTCTATAAAGAACGCTAAAACTGGTACAACGAGGCATATGGTCCGCGACAGCCGCTTGCAGCGGATTGTGGAAAACCGTTCTTACTGCCCGTCTCCCAGTGGCAGGCAGACATGAAGGAATCGGGCGTGAAAGAAAGGGCTGTTTCAAGATTTTTTAAGAAACCACAACAGACGATTTCTCCGATCATCCTGCAAGCTCAAGTCAGGACCCTGTTCACAATGCTGAGAGAACGGGAAGACCCCTATGAACTTCATCAACTCAAGACAACCGGATCATATTGCGGTCGAGAGCTGACACTCGCCTCACTGTGGCTGACATTGCCGCTGAGCTCAGCTAGCGACGACACCATTCTTAGTCGGCGGACTATAGGATAACGACTAAACAATGTTGATATTCATGGGAAGCGTCCAGCCAAAAAACCGTCCATCCCAAACAAAAAAAGGATAGCTAGAGTGGCATTTGCGCGCCATCACCTCAACCGAACTGCGACTGACCGTAGTAAAGTTTATTAACAGATGAGGGTCAGTTCAATCAGTTTTGAAGCGATGGTTTACGGTACTACGACATCTATCTGAGGAAAGGTTCAATGCAAAGTACATCCCGCCCACAAGCAAGCATGTTTCAGGAAATGTGACAATATACGGTGCCTTCTTCTCGAAAGGAACGGACCCTACTTTGGAAATCGATGGGACGATGGCAGCGGATTACTACAAGAACATGACATTTGACATCGCCTTCCTGTGGACTTAGCACAACATGCCAGTAGGATAGATCCTGCAGCAGAATAACGATCCGAAACACACCTCGGTGGTTGTGAAGGCGGGCATCATCGAGTAGCGAACCAGGTTTCTGGGGTGGCCGAGCTAGTCATCGGATCTGAATTGTATAGAGCACATGTGGGAAGAACTCGGAGGGCGTCTTTCAAACAAACTTTGTGGAAACAGCGGAGGGAAATTTGGTCAATAAGCGAAGGTAGGAAAGTCATGCCAGTGCCTACCGTTTGAAAATTAATTGACTCGATGCCTTCCACTTGCGATGCTGTAATCAAGAGTCAAGGCTTTCCTACCTTCTGTCGATGTTTCTGATGTTTTACATGTTGCTATTCCGTAATAAAGTGGTTTTGCTTAGGTCATTTTAATCGGTATTTCCCACTGAATTTGAGTTGAATCACACTAACGTGCCGTGAACATAGCAAATTGCAGCTCAATAGTGGATTCACAGACTAAAATTTCATGTGAGTTTGGTTTTGACCGTTACTGTATATCTTGGTTATTCTTAAAGTACCGGAGAGTTAGCTTGTTTCTGGTTATAGCCCGATGAGCACATTGCCTGCCCAGCAAAGAGAATGGGTAGGGTCTTTAGAGATGGACAGATAGATTGGCTAACCTCGGTAAGATGTTCAAGAAAAATTTACTGTGGCTTAATATCACTAATGTATGAGCTAAAAATTCTTGATGAGAGACCAATTCAGATATCGCTGCAATAGACGTTATCCCCTTTTTCGACACCCTAACTCTAAAGTGGTACGACACTAGTAGAGATTTATGGGTGCGTTTCGTTGCGCGCGTTCGTCGAAACTAGGTCACGCCGCAGCCGTCGCATGCGGCTGTTCAGCCCGCGATACTCGACGGATGTCGCAGTTGTTAGTGGGGCATACGATTTGTGCTGGTCCGCGGCAGTCAGCTCAAGGAAAAGATAACACGGACAAATGCAAACCGTTCGCTCCACTGACGTTTTGTGACACTGTAATGTCATCTCGAGGCCTCAGTGGGGTGCGCCGCGCGCGAAGTGGGCGGGGTGACCTACTTTCGACGGAAGCGCGCAACGGACGTTCTCCGAGAGACTTATAGGTATTTGTTTCGGGAACAAGGCTTCATAACAGTAGTATAAATGTTCAATTTTGTAATCATTGACTGTAGGAAGGATGTGATGTGGCATTTCATGCACCCTTTTCAAACCCTCTTAAGTGATTTTCCCGTTAGCTTTCCAATGTAATAGGAGAATTCGCAACCCCACATATGAATAAGTATTCCGTCATAAGTAATATGTACTATTAGTCCTTTCTTCTCTGAATAACTCTGATAAGAGTCAATCAAATCTTTGTGTGACTCATATTCTTCCCTTCGAAGAGACCGTCTTTCCTCCTT